GAGATGGGAATTCATAGACTCAAATCAGGAAGAAAACAGGAAGTCTGGTCTGGTTCAGGCTGGGCGTAAACCAAGGGGCCAACATGAGAGAGAAGAGGTAAAGGCTGAGCCAGCAAAAAGTGATATGCCCTGTGTACGCCTGCCAAGGGAGGCAGGAGTATGGGTTTATGAGCAGAGGCTCTGAGTTCCCTACCCAGATCTGCCACCAGTCACTCCCACCTTGTGCCTTCCTTGTTTTCTGGCCTGTGAAGGGGGGATAATGAAGGAAGGTCTAGTCCCCACCCCAGCTCCACCCTCTGGTGCTGCCCCAGCCATTTGAGGTCAGGATAGGGACGGGGAGAGTGACCGAAAGGACCAGCTACCTATAAGGTGCCAGACTCCCAATGGAGTGCATCTGGAAGTTGAATTCCTCATTTCTGAGGTCCCCAGTTTCTGGGGATTCTTTTCAAACCATGGTGCTGATGTGGTGAGGGTGGAAAGATGGAAAGGTGTTTGGGTGCACAGGCTTGAAGAAGTCCTGTGCTGCCCTCTGCAATGTCATTCGTCATTCGTTATCTGTGTAGAGACCCTTCCCGGAGGGTGGAATTGGCCAGGCCCAGTTTGACTCTGCTCCTGGTTGCAGCTTATTTCATTTGCTTGTGGCTTTTCCCATAGTAAGGGGACCTCACAACTGGGACTTTCAGGAATGCAGCATACACAGGGCACCTTGGACCATTACCTTGACCATGACCTGCCAGAGGCTCCATCACTCTTGTAGTTGACAGAATATGAACCAATTTCACAATCCCGCCTCTTTTCTCTCAGTCCAGTTTCTTCTTGCCCCATGGGGTCTGGTGCCCCATATAGTTTCTCCCATATACTAACTTCACTCTCTTTCTGTCTTGCCTTTCTTTGGCTGCAGTTCCCATGCTGCTCAGTGGCACAGCGATGGGTGTTTCAGGGCGGGGGAGGGGCAGCACTGTCCCTGCACAGCACCCTTCTCCTCTCTGGCTCCTGGACACTAAACACTGGTAGGAGTCCCGAGTTGCTGAGACAGCAAAGATCCCCACAGTATATTTCCAAGACATTCCTTTCCACTGTCTGAGCAGTGCTTTCATTCAGCAGTTGCTTTACCAGGGTGGGTCACTACTGCTGATCAGTTTAACTGACATACTGAATAATATGAATATATTGAATAATTTCAAGAATGACCATAGTAATCACTGGCACATGTATGTCTTTTTCTTTTTGAAGGGTGGGAGCAAAGGGAGGGAGAGAATAGAATCTTAACCAGACTAAAAGCCTGGGGCAGGGCTCAATCTCATGACCCTGAGATCATGACCTGAGCTAAGATCAAGATTCAGATGCTTAACTGCTTAGCCAACTGAGCACTCCAGGCACCCCAATCACTTATATTTTTAACCCTAACACATCCAAGGGTTTACATGGCCCAGGCCTCAGCATAGAGTCACATGGAAGGAAGCACAAAACAGGAACCAAAAGTAATTTGAAAGAAACAAACCTCCTCTGAAAGAAGCACCCACATTTGTACTGCTTAGGAGGCCCTGTCCACTCCCAGATCCCCTCGTACTGTGACATGTCCCTGTCATGCAGGCAAAGAGGCCGCATTGCCCTCTATTACGGACATCAGTGTGGCCTCTGCCACTAGGTTGGATCCTTCCTCGAGCAAAAGACAGCAAGAAAAGAGCTCCAAGCTGCCTTAAATATGCAGAGGAGGTCAAGGAAGCTCCCAGTCACCTGTGTTAAATTCTTTGTCTCATCAAATGGGTACCGAAATCTTCCATTGCAAAGGCATCTTCCTGCCCATTGTCTGGTGCACCTCCCAAGTGGGCAGAGGATCACCCATGCTCCTGCTTCACAGATAACATCCTTTCAGTGATTTACCCAAAATCTCACTCACTGTGAGTGGGACACTTGCACTGTGTGTGATACCCATTATGCCACAGTGAGTGACACAGAAGAAATACCGGCCAGGGTTCCAGTGACTCCTAAGCCCCGAGAAAGCAGAAGAATAATCCCAGGCTTGTTTGGATCTAACACACTAGGTTGCCTGAGGGCAGAAAAAATAGGAGGGTGAGAAGAGCCATCACTGTTGCTTCCCAGATCCCTGGGGTCACCCACCCCCCTCACGCACCCCTCTCTACCCTGTGCCACCTGAACCCGGCTTCTTTGCAGGAGGTTGATAGAAATCTCTCTCCCCCTCCCCAGCTTTACGAAGATAGAATTACTGTTTAACATTCTGTACGTTTAAGGTGTACAATGTGTTGATTTGATAAGGAATCTCATTTTCCTTCAACTTAGCATCTAGCTGCTTTTTTTTTTTTTTTTTCTAAACCCTAAGTTTCCTAGGAGGAACCTTCTGTGCTGGACCTGTGGGGATGTGGGGATGTCTGTTCTGAAGCCCCACATCACCCCCTGCTGGGCCTTGGGCTGCCTGTGTCTTCTGCAGGCTGCGACATTCCCGACATTCCTGGCTCTCTGGATTATGAGGTTTCTCCCCAACCCTGTCCCCACCACCCCCTCCATCGCGGGCCATCTGTCCCGGCACTGCCCACCCTCAGCCCTTTCAATAGCACCACCCTTGGGGAGGGTGGTCTCCGGAGTGGTTTCATAACAGGCTCCGGGTGAGGGTGGGGACACCCCAGTGCTGCCAGGCTGTTTAATTGAGTTGGTTATTCAGAGAGACTGCAACTAAAAAAAGTCCTAATGGGGGAAGAGTTTTCTGGGGGGGGGGCGCTTCTTTCAGCCCTCCCCCCTCAACCGGGTAGATGGAGGAGTGTGCACACATGAGAAAGGATGGAAGGGAACCGGGGAGGGGAGAGGATGCCTTTCTAAAAATACAGCCCATCTGCACTGTGTTAGCTGGTTTCCCCGGAAACCACTGGGAAGAGCTCTCCAGCGTGGCACAGAGCTTCGGGGCCTGGGTGGGGGGCTGAGTGGGCAGGGACCTTCTGGCCTGGCCTGTTCGTGCTGGGGGTGAGGCTCTCCTAGGGGGGCCCTGCAGAGCTCTCTCTTAGCCTTCCATGAGGCCTGGGTGGCCAACAGCCCCCAGTCTACCCTCAGCACATCTAAACCTTAAACTAGACTCAGGTGGAGACCCCATGACATCTTGAGGCACTGTCTTCCTAATACTCTGGAGGCCACCGCGCCCACTCTGCAGTCCCTGGGCCTTCCACGGGGAGAAGGGACGGGCAGGCGCAGGGTGGGGCAGAGGGCGCCTTCTGATCAACCAGCTGGTGGGATTCAGGGGCAGAAGGGAAAGTCAAGGGCTTTACCCCTAAAAAGACTAAAATAGAATTGAGGGAGGACAATCGAATGAGAGGAAGGAGAGCAATCCGTCCTTCCAGGTCACGCAGCTGTGGTGCCATAGAGTGAGCACTGGACCCAGATAGGAATCCCAAGACCCTATCTGGGCACGCCACGGAACTTCTTGGTTTCCCCATCGTGCTTCCCTCGGGGGCGATGTGAAATAGTGCAAGGAAAGTACTTTGCGAGCAGTGAAATGCTTGCAAGAAGAAGGAATGATCGTGATCCTCATATAGTCTTTAAAAATGTTGGTTTTTCTAGATTTCAGGTTGCATAGCCTGGTTTTCAGTCCTCCGCCTGGGAAGGACGCCTATGAACTTTATGGTGTACATCTTCCTAGGCTTGTCTGTTGTGGAGCTACTCCTATTTCGTAATCTCAATGATACTGTGTGGTTTATAACTTCTTTTCACATTTATGAGGACACAAGCATTTCCCCCATGTTATTACATAATCATTTACAAGTGACTGACCTACAGTTTGTCTCATGTCCTAAGGATGGACATTTAGCTTTTTCAAGTTTATTATTATTTTAAAAGGCATTGTGGTGAGCATTCTTACAGATAAATCAATAGGTGCCCTCTCTGGCCTCCTTAGGAAATTTCTTCCAGGGAGAGGCTTGCTAAATCCAAGAACCTTTTTAAATTTTTAAATTTAAACCTTTTTAAATTTGAACCTTTTTAAATTTAATTCATTTTGCCAAACTGCCCTCCAGAAAGAGGTAGCAGTTTATACACCCACGAGCAGTAAGAGAAGTGCCATTTTGGGTGCATCACTGCCAGCACTGCTGACTCTGCCAGTTCGGTAGGGGGGAAAAAGCATCGTGTTTTAATTTGAATTTCTTTGACATCTAGTGAGCCTTAAAATTTTTTCGCGTATTTATTGGTCAGTGTTAATTCTACGGACTTCCAGTTCACCTCCTCGGCTGCTTTTTCTCTTGGTACCTTCTAATCTATTCTGTCCTAAAATCCAAGTGAGGATGGCAATGCCAGGCTACACAGATCATCTCTGCCTCCCCCGCCCCCACCACGGGCTCCTCCAAGCACACACAGGCGTGCACGCATACACACATGTGCACGGAGAACCCTTTCTTGAGGTTCAGACTGAAAGCTCATCAGAGTCTCCCAGGGACACCCAGCCGTTAGGGCCTGGGATCCATCACCTGCTGGCTGTGGGTTGAGCGGTCATCCCTCCCTGCTGCTGGCTCGCTTAAACTGGCACCGCCTCTTTCATCCTCACTGTACACAGACTGCCCCGCTGCCAGGGCCATCCCCACCCAGGCTTTTCCTCCCAGGCCCCCGGGACAGCCATGCCCTCCAGGCCCTCACTGTCCACTTCAACCACAGAGGGCTTCCCTCTGCTTCCCGCCCTGCATCTGACCTCCCCACATCATCCCTCTGCATCTCAGTAAGTGCAGAGTCCACCCTGGCATTGTTTTAAGGATCATCCTGTGGTGCTTGTTCTCTTTTCTTTCTTGCTGAACGTGTTTTAACTTTTAAGAGCCGGTCATAGAAGAGCCTCGCCCGCCTGCGGAGGGCCCCCCCACGCCGCCCGGCCCCGCAGGGGCCTGCACTCGGGGCGCGGGGGGGGGGGGGGGGCGGCGGCTGCTGGGTGTGCTCGCCGGTGCCCCTGCCCGCCTGTCCACCCGGAGATTCAGCAGCAGGGCCCAACCCTCGTCCTCCCCGCCCTCCCCCAGGGCTCCTGCTCCACGACGTGACCATGGCCGGGCTGCAGGAGCTGCGATTCCCGGAGGAGAAGCCGCTGCTCCGGGGCCAGGACGCCGCCGAGCTGGTGAGTGGCCCCGGGCGCTCCTGGGCGGGGGGCGCCACCTCGCGGCCAAGAAGGAAACCTCGCGGAGGAGCCGCGCCTGGAGCCCTCCCGCGCCCGCAGACCCCTCCGCCGCGGGGGCGCGGGCTGTCTCCGAGGCTGGGAGTCTCTTTAGGAGAGTTATTCCCATCTCAGTGATGAGAAGACTGAGACACAGAAAGTTAAGCCACTTGGTCAAGGTCGCAGAGCTACTGGGGAAGATACTCAACGTCGGTTCTGGGAGGCCCTGGATCCCCACAGGGGTCCCCAGTGGGCAGCAGAAGAGCAGCGGAAAGGCAGGGCCTTTCTTTCTTCATGGTGCTGTCAGGAGCAGTGGGACGAAGGCACTTGAGATTGTTGTTTTTGTCCCAGAGAGCCCCCTCCTGGGCACCAGGCTTTAGATTGCAGAGTTGTTTGTACCCCACGTTTTCTTGTGGGTGACCCCTGACCTGGCCTCCCTTACCCTTTCTGCAAGGAGAAGCGTGGGTGGACTGCTTGTAGAATCCTTGAGGGTCAGGCCCCCGGGTCTTTGCAGATTGTGCTGCCCACCCCTCTGACACTAGGTCTGATGCGGCCTATCAGAGAGCCTGGCCATTTTATTCCCAGTCTTCCCCCCGGCCTAGCACAGCCTTGCACACTGAAGGCTTTCAGTGCAGGGTCAGGTCATCACAGATTGGGATGCACCTGAGAATAAGGAAGTTTTCCAGAACTTCCTGAAAAAGTCCCTCCTCCCAACTACCACCCTTCTGAGGTAAGCAGAGACTGGCCTGCTTGTGAGGCTCGGTAGTGGACGGTGCCCCTAAGGCTTTTCCCTGGAAAATCTCTCCTATAAAGTGCATCAACAAACTGAAGGCACCTTTTTATTACTCCGTGGGGGAAAACATACAGACCTCTATGTGTACATACGGTCACACCCACCAGATTGTTCCCACAGTGGGCTGTGTTTTCAAACAAATGTAAATTTTGAGAGAAAAGTCAAAGGTGCTTCAGCCATGTACTGTGTATATATATTAAAAAACAAAGTTTTGTGTGTTTTGATTACTTTAAATTTTGTTATAAAAAGCCTGGAATTTTTAATATGTGGCTTGGGGGGATTTTTGTTTGTTTTCCTGTTTGAGGGTTTTGGTTTTTTTGCTTTTGTTCTTCTGGGCAAAAAAAAAACCTTGCTTTTAGTGTTTGTACTGCTGCTGGTCAGGACATTAAAATATTGAAGTGTTTTTAGGGCTGAGGCGTGGGTTTAGGCAGCGGCTGCACAGAGGAGGTGTCGCCTGCAGGTGTATGCTGTTGTATGTCCCTGTGAGGCCCAGAGGACAGACAGAGGGCACCATGGCCTTGCCTGGCCCTTCCTCCCCTCGTCTCCTGAGAGCTGTCCCTGTGCCCCTTCCCTCCCACCCTGACTTGGTGGTGTGGCACCTTGACCAGCAGCCTGGCCCTGCCTTCTGTTGGGTGCATTTGCTGTCGCTCACCTCATCCCACCCCAACAGGACCAGAGGTCCCCACCATGTCTGCGCTTCAGCCCTGAGTCCCCAGCAGCTTCTCTCCTCTCCTGGCCACAGACCTGGTCCCGCCTGCATAACAGCCCTGTCCCCAACCTCCTAAAGCCCCTGTGCTGGTGGCTGCAGACTGTGGTGAGCTCGCGCTTCACCTTCCAGAGCTATTCTGACTCTTTCCCGCCATTCCTCTGATTCTCCTTGTGTAGCTGCAGTGCTGGAGGGTGTGTGTCCCTGACTTCATAAACCTTCTGTGCAAATTCCTAGTGAGGAGCAAATAGTACCCCAGTGTTTACCCCACAGGGCTCTTACCATCTCAGGCTCGCTTGCCTTTGGAGGCTCAGGGGCCAGGTGTCCAGGGCTCCGGGAGAGCTGTTGCTCCTCCTCCCCCTGCCTGCATCCCCATCCTCTGCCTCCATCCCATGCTCCTGGGCCTCCTCCCAGCCGGGCCCTCTCTCCCACCTGTCTTCCTCCGAAGGTTCCTGTACTCCTTCCAGGACCTCCCAGGGCCCTGTATTGGCTTGTGTCATTCCTGCCATTTGTTGGTTTGGGGTCCTGCCCCTCCAGAGACTTTCCCACGTCCAGGGGTCCCCAGCACATGGAGAACACACAGTGCACCCTGCCATTATCTGCCTCATGGTTTGTGTTGATTTTGTTCCAAAAGAAACCACTTCCTTCTCTATAGCCTTAGGGCCTCTGGAATAAACAATCTCCCCATCTCTTTCCCTGCCCTCTCCCGCTTGGGCATGATCTTCTGGTGAGAGGATTCATCAGTAACCAGCCTGGTCCCCTTCCCTGAGCCCCCATCCCCTTTCTTAGAGATTCCAGGAGTGGCCTGGCTGCTGCCTCTCCCCCCTAACAGCTCCCACACCCAGGGAGAACCCCCAGGCCCTGAAGGAGCCAGAAGGTGTGGCCAGAGGACAGCCACTGTGTATGATACAGTCCGAACCGCAGGACACCAGGCTTCCCTCTTGCAGTGTGAGACCCTTTCGTGCTGTCTCCCTCTCCCACCACCCCCGCCACCCCCACTGCCAGAAAGCAGGTGGTTGAACTTTTCCTTATTGTGAGAGTAAAACATCTAAATTGCTGGTTTTCATTTTTTCCCTTTTACTCCCATGATTTGGGGTCATCTTCCTTCTTGTACATTAGCAGCTCACCCCTTGTTCTGATTGTCTCATTTATCCGTGTATTTATTCAGTAGAGCCTTAGGGAGCTTGTGCAGCATACAAAGTCAAGTGCAGGAGTATAAAGGAGTGACAACTGACACCGCACTTCTCTTTGATCCTCACAGACATTGAGGCCGAAGCTAGGTGGCTTGCCTCGTTTGTCACAGCTGAGCAAAGGGGAGGACAAGTTTCTAGACAGACACGGCGGAAGACAAGGCAGAGGCCCAGGAGCTCTGCTTTTCCTGGACATGTGCTGCCCCACTCCCCTCACTGCCGTGACGCTGCCTTCCCTAGACCAGACCCACAGAGGACGCACACATGGAGTTCTAGGGCCCCCTTCCACTCCACACCTCTGCTGCCTTGCAAACAGTGGGTGCTTCTGAGCTGAGTTCCCCTCATTTGCAAAGTCAGGCTTGTTCATCCAGATCTGTTTGGGTTTGGGGAACCCACTCCATTCCAGGCTTTATGGAGAGGGCACAGCCAGCCTGGCACTTGCAGCCCAGTAGGAGGGACTCGGCGCACCAAAGATGCCCACTGTTTGGGGTAAATGAGCCTGGAAGCAGGGGACATCTGTGCTTTGAGAGCACAAAGCGGGCAGGTCTGGAAAGGTGGGAGCCACCACAGGCCCAGGCAGAGCCTTTGTGCAGCTTGAAAAAGTCCCGCGTTGCTCCCCTGCTGCATGGCTTCAGCACCCCTGTCCCTAAAGTGGGTGCGGTTGTCCTGCCTACCACTGCCCTCCTTCCCCAGCCTCTGCAGCCATGGCCCAATGGCTGGGTGGTGTTGGGGGGCAGGGAGCAGTGGGGCAAGGTGACAGCAAGGATCTGGCTTCAGAGCTGTCACCACTGCCTAGCTGTGTGAGTCAACCTCTCCAAGCCTCACCCTTCCCACCTGTAAGATGGAAATCTTCACGTTTTAAATTAATAGGTAAAAGTGAAATGAGTAGCTACTCGTAGGCTTATCCACTGGGCCCTTAACTGGCCTGCTGCCTGGGAAGCCCTGGGTCGTTTCGGTTAACATAAAAATGAATGGGGGATACAAAGCAAGTGAGCCTGCTTGGGGCTGAACCCCTGTGGGCCTGCTGGGCCAGCCATGGCCTGACATGCACCTTCTCTGTTTGCCTTCCCTTAGGAGAACTCCGACACCTTCCTCTTGGCTACGGACACAGACTGGAAGGTAGGTCTCAGCTCGGCCTTCCAAGGTAGGAGCCTAACAGCCGGCCAGCCCCTTACCTTGCCCAGCCTGGTCCCAGATGAGGGTCACTGCCCTTCTGTGTGGGCATCGCCAGGACCACCATCCCTCCCTCCCCCCAGCCCCCGCCGTGGTTCACAGCAGCTTTGCCTGCCTCCTGCTTAGTGGAGACCTGGCTCCTTCCCTGAACAGGGCTGAAGTGGGGGGGGCGGGGTGGAGATGGGATACTGTCATCTGAATCAGCACTTCCCTCCAATGAGGAAAATCTCCAGTGGGGCTGGTGCTCTGAAATAGCTCCTGTTTCCATGGAAACTGTTGCCGGGACACCCGTGTCCTCTTTAGTTTGATGCCAGATTCCCTGTGAAAATTGAAATTGTTCTTTGTTTCTATTCGTCTGCATGATCAGTTCACTCCCTTGACCAGCCTTTTCTTCCCTCTGAGTCCCATCCTGGCCATTTATTTCCGGGTCTTGGAACACATCACTTCTGACAGCAGACACAGTGGGAACCTCTGCGGGTTCCAGACAGAGCCCTGCTGGCAGTCAAAACCTGCTGAACAAAATCAGACCCTTCTAGGACCTTCCTCCTGGCTAGATGGAACTACCCTCTCCTGGGGCCTGACTTTAATTTGGTTTGGTCTCCTGTCTCCAAACCCCATGACAGCCCCAGCCTCCTTGTCTGGACACCTCCAGGGTGACTCCAGAGGTGGGGTGGCCTGCAGGCTCCTCCCCTTCACCACCACCACCACCACCAGGCACACAGTGCTGCAGCAAGGACCCAGATCCCAGGCCTATGCCTCAGGCCTTGGGTCATGTACCCCTTCAAGGACACCAGAGGAGGCTTCAGAGCAGCCTGTGCACACGTGCTCATGTCCCGGGGGTGGGGGGGGAAGCACCAGCACCAAACACAGAGGGCTCTGGAGCTGAGGACAGGAGGAGTCTGGGCAACAGACAGGAGCCCAGGAGGAGGGAAAGGAGGAGACGCCCCAGGCCCAGCTAGAGATCAGAGCAAGACCCCTCAAGGGGGACTTCTTGTCCTACCCACTCAAATGAGGGCAGGAATATATGGATAAATAGCCCCTTTGCCCCAGGAAGGCCTGGGGAAATAAAATCTTGGAGCAGCCAGCCCCTGCCTGACACCAGGTGGGACCCACCAGACTAGTAGTGCTGACTGCCAGCCCCCAAAACACACCTGGGGGTGGTGCGTCATGAAAGGGGAGAGGGAAATCCTGGAGCTGTGGGCTGGACCTAACCCAGCACTGCTGCCAGCAGTGTTTGGGACCCTTTGCTTGGTAAAGGGCAGTATGTGTAAAAGGCATCTACTCCTCTACTCCACTGTGCCGCAGAGAGGCTGCAGGCTTTTTTTTTTTTTTTTTTTTTTTTTAAAAGCACTAAGAGGATGGATGACTCTTATCTGGGCCAAGACCTGGCAGGGATTTTATCCTCTTTCATTCCTTGCCTCAATGGACCCAGCCAATCTCAGGGGGAGGGGAGGCAAGGCAGACAAGAGCCAGACAGACCTGAGTCCCAGGCCTGTCCCTGCTAGTTGTGGCCCATGTGACCTCCAGCACACGTCACTGCCTTATTTGTACAGTGAAGAAAGCTGGGACCCCCCAGATATTTGTAGGGTTGGGGGACGATGCCCCAGGCCCGACACTCAGCTCCCAAGCTCCCTGTGACTGTGACTGTGACTGTGGTCACCAGAGCACATGGAGTCCAAGGCAGGCTGCCTGAGTGTGGTTTTGGGTTCTGTGTCATGTTGGGCACGTTACAGAACCTCTCTGTGCTTCATTTTCCTTGTCTGTAAAGTGGATGTTAAGAGGATAAAATAAGGTGACACGTGTAAGGCACTTGGAGGAGGCTGGCAACTGGGAGATAGGCTGATAAGGATTTGTGACCTTAATCATGTGACCTAAGGCCCAGAGTGCTAGGGTGCTGGTAAACTCCATGGTTACTAGCTGAGTGGGACAGTTAATGTCCCTATGCTTTAGTTTGCTCATCCTTTTCCAGAGGTGTGTGAGGACTGCATGTTACCCTTGCAGCTACCTACCTACACAGACGGCACAGCTCTTCTCCCATTTATAGGTGTGGAGGCCCAGAGAGGTTGAGTGCCTTGCCCACGGTTAAACAGTAGAGAAGTGGCAGATACAACTGGTACCTAGGTTTGGCTGGCAGGACCTGAGCCTGCCTCATCAGCCACCACTGCACAGCCTCCAGGGAAGGGGTCAACAGTTAGAAGAGGCATGCCGATTGCCCTGTCTCTCCCTAAGGGGCCTGGGCGGGCATGAGTTCGGGTCTATGGAACCCCTCTGGAGCTCTTTCTCTTTTTCATAGCAACTCTTCAGGAAAGCACAATTGCTGTTTACAATTGAGGAGCCTGAGGCATGGAGAAATGAGAAAGCCTTACCCAGGGTTACCCAGCTGGTGGGTGGGGGAGCCAGGACTTGAACTCGGGTCTGTAGATTTGAAGCCAGTGAGCTGAGCAGGAATGGGGCCATGGCTGGAAATGGGTAGTATCCAGAGTTAGCTTGTCACCCAGGGCAAAGGGTGGCAGAGCCACTCAGAGGTCAGAGGCTGGCTGGGCATAAAGTTGAATGGAAGAGCAGGGGTTTAGTGGCAGGAAGAATGGGAAGATGCCCTCCCACCCCCACCCCATCCTTTTTAAGGAGCAGGTGGGAGGGTCATGTGGACGGGGCAGGGCTGTGCTGGTGGCTACAGGGAACAGGGAGCTTGGCCAGTACCCAGGGGCAGTGGGACACCCTGATCCATACCCTGGCTGCTCTGGGACAGCGCAGGGCGCTGGGCCCCCAGAGCCAGAGGTCACAGATGGGGCATGGAGAGTTATTGGTGTGCCCCAGACAGAGGACGCGGCCAGGAATAGCACACATGACAGGTGTTGACCAGGACACTGGGCCCCTAGAGATGGGGAGGTGGCCCCCTCCCCACAAGGCTGCCAGCCAGTGTGTGGGGCTAGTGCTGCAGGCTGGAGTGACTGGCGTGTTCCTTCACCAGAGAGACAGAATGGGGTCTGTGTCTGCCCTCCCCTGTGTGCCCAGCACCCTCCTCTGTGTTGCTTCTGCTTCTCTCAGTCCTTGGGCTCTCTCCTGGGCTCACCTCCCTGACCTGTTTCCTCTTGTCTGTTCTCCTTTGCCTCCTCCTCCCCAGATTCCTCTACCTGCCAGCTCCCCACACAAGTCCTTGCCATCAGGAGGACAGGGCATGGAGCCTGTGGTGGCCCATGCATCCTGCTCCCCAGAGACCTGGGAGCCAAGCTGCACACTGGTTGGCCCCAGGAGAGAGAACTGGGGGGCTTCTGCAGGAGGTGGGCATGTCCACTTTGACAGGCTAACTCCTGTCCTCTCCCTGGTGTCCTCCAGCCCCTTGATGTAGGATGGGGGTGGGGAGGGCAAGCAGGTGTGTTCCCCACCATGCTGTTCATCCTACCATCAGCCCAGGCCCCTCGCCCCCAGAAGCCCCATTTCAGCACCAAGGGCAAGCGCTGGGCTTACATGGGGATGGGGCATGAGGGGTGCCCTAGGGGAGACCCTGGGGAGTGGTGAAGGAGCAGTCCCTGGATCAGGGTCACAACAGAAGGTTGCCCCCAGACAGCCAGTCACTCCCCCATCCCTTCAAGGTTAAGCGGTGGATTCAGACCTTCCTGAAGTGGAGGCTGGGCATGGGGCCCTCTCAGGCCCTCCCTGCTCCCCAGGGAATGGGTCAAGGGCTGTGCGGTCTGGGGCCTGCCTGTGAGCCCACCCTATGTTGGTGTGTGTGTCAGTGAGTGGCTCCTGTGTACCTGACGCAGGGCACACCTGTACATGTGACTCCTGGTCTCATCTTCCCAGGGCCCCGCGTGCAGCAGTGGCTGTAGGGGGAGGGGGGTGCACGCACGCGCTTGCGTGCTGGGGGCAGGCAGGATGCGGGGCCTGGGGACCCTTTAGGATGCTCTGTTGCTGGGATGGGGGTGGAGCTGGAGGAGGAGCAGGAGCTGGGGTGAGCCAGGACTTCGGAAGCCAATGGGAGCTAGGTTCGTCTCCCGCCCGCCAATCTGGAAGCGGGGCTTGGAGAGCCAGTGGCTGCCTGGAAAGCCTGAGGGGGGGCTGGGCCAGCGCCGCATATAAAGGCCGGAAGCGGTGCCCCAGCACAGCGCCGCCGCTGGCTCCCCTTGGCGCTGTCCCCTCCCTCTGGACCCCGGTGACTCAGGCCTTTGTTTGCCCTTCTTGGAAGAGGCAGATCGCCTTCTCGCTCGGCAAGATGCCGGAGTGCTGGGACGGGGTGAGTGAGGGCTCTGGGGGCGGCCGGGTGGGTAGGGAGGAAGGGACATCCCTCCACTTCTGTCTGGTGGCCGCCCCGCTTTCAGTCCCCTCCTTACCCTGGGCGTCACTGAGGCAGGGCCCGCAGGTTCTGGCAGCCTCCGCAGTCAGGAGTCAGCCGCCAGGCAGGGCCTGCGGGGAAGGGCTGGGATCCGCAGGCACGGGAGGGAGCCGGGGTGGCCCCGGCCGGCGCACCCCGCTGACCGTGTACCCTTCGCAGCAGGTGCCCGGCCGGTGTCTGCCTCGCGCCCTTGAGCGCCTCAGCCCTGGGGGAGACCCGTACCTGGACGTCCACCCTCCTGACCCAGCAAGGATTGTCCTGGTGGTTTGGGTGGCTGCACTGGGCTGGGAACAGAAGGGTGTCCCCTTCCTTCCCTGGGAATTGCCTGCAGCTCCGCCGTCGTCCCCAGGGAGCCTCAGTGCCAGCCTAGCCGAGGCGGGGAGGTCTGGGCAGGGTGCTGACCCAGCCTTCAGACTGAAGTCCCTGCCGGGACGGGGACGAGGAGGGGGTCGCCGTGTCTTATTTTGTGGGTGGGGAAAGGCGGCCCAGGCAGCAGTGCCCCTAGGTGCTATTCTTCAAAGAGGGAGAAGCAGGGCAAAAGTCCTCCTCCACCCCCACGCTGGGCCTGCCCTGCAAGGGAGCACAGACCACCGGGCCTCCCTGCACCCAGCAGCACCCAGGCAGCACCCGGGCAGCACGTCCGCGCCTACCCCGCTGCAACCTGGTTCACCAAACTGCTGATGTGGTTGATGGAATGAATCACACTAGACAACCCCTCCCCCCAGCCCCTCACCCCTTCCCGCTGCTGATACCCTGATACCCGGCTGGGAGCCTCCCCTCCCATCGCAACCCTCAAGGTCACTGGCAAGACCGATGTGAGAGAGAACGTCAGAGCCCCCTCCCTGGCTGCCGCAGTGCCGGCGCCCACCTGGAGGCGGGGGTTCTGACGTCACCAGGAGCCAATGGGAGTGCTGGGCCCTGGGGGCCGGGGCTCCGAGGGGCTCCGAGCGGGCCAGGCTGCAGCCCTCAGGTCACCCCTCTTGTGGGGCATCTGGCTCCCAAGGGATGGGGACGGGGCTCCTATCCCGCTGAGATGGGTCAGAGCTCCTGGGTTGATGGAGGGAGGGTTCAGCCAAGTCACTGGGCCACTGCCCTCGACAACCCATCCCGACAACCCATCCTGCCTGCGCAGCCAAGCCTCAGTGGGCAGAGCACTGCAGCCAGTCCCACGACCCAGGGGCTGGTGACGGGGATGGCGCGGTCACACCAGGCCTGGGAGGGGGCAGACACCCCCATGCACAGCCACTGGCGGTGGCGGACTGCACCCTGCACCCTGGGCCCTGACCCGTAGCACACGGAGGCAGCGCATTGCAGGTCTTGTGCAACGGGCGTCCCTCCTGCCCCCACCCTCCCAATCTTTCCCTCAACCCCTGCCCTCCAAAGCTAAGAGCATGGAGGCTGGTGGGGGATGCAGCATGCCCCCCCCTACCCCAGGGCAGGGACAGGCGGCTGTAGAGAACTGCCTGCTTGGAAATCTTTGGGGCGGTGTCTTCAGTGCATACCCTTGGCCTCTGGGGCTGGCAGCTGGCAGGGCCTGCTTTGCCCTCTGTGCACTTGACCTTGGGCAAATCATTTCTCCTTTTGAACCTCAGTTTGGGGCTTGGGTCCCTGTGAGAAGTAAATGAGAAGATACATGAAAAGTAGCTGGTCAGCCGCCAGTGAGCAGAAAGTGTTCCTCATGTTGATGGCCCTGAGGGAGGACAGGCCGGGGATGTGGGAAGGCTGTGGTGGCCCTGGGCCCACTCAAAGGACATCAGGTTTATTTAACAGGGCCTCACAGCAGAATTGTGGCTCGCAGGGTGTGGCCTTTGTCAATGAAGTTGACACCACCTTGTCATTCCCCCTGGAGACACAGGCCTGAACAGTGGTCCTCTGAGCTCCAACCCAAGAAGACCAGACTCCAGGAAGCTGTCCGCTGTCTCCCGAGTCTCCCCTTTTCCATCAGGAGCAGGAACTTGGGTTCTCTCTAAACCTAAGTGTCCTCCATGTGCAAAAGGGGAAAATGTATGCATAACATGCTTGGTACCTGGCCCACATTTGGGGGTCAGTCACATGTTCTTCCTACCCTTGACCTTAGCCCCACCTCCAACGTACAGGGCCAACTCCCAGTGTTCCCCATGGTACAGGGCAAGGCTGGTATAATTCAGCTCTGACAGACCCTCTTGGAATCTGTCTATTGAGTGACCGAAAGTGACTAGTTTGCTGAGCCTGCATGGCACCTCCCCAAGGCTTAAGGATGTCTGAGCACATCAGCCTCCTCCTATGGCGTCCAGCACCCATTCCCAAAGGACTAGTAAGCCTAAGCCACAAAACCAAAGGCACAAACACAAGAGGATCCCAGAGTAGTCACTGCAGAAGGTCTTTGGGGTGGGGGTGAGGTTCTGAACCTACCCTGCCTGGAGGGGAGGGGGATTCAAGGTGGAAGGAATAACATGAGTAGGAGTCTGGCAGTGGGAACCAGGGCTGGTGTGGGGGGGTTGGAGGCTGGGCTTGGCTGATATGGGGGTGGTGGCTGTAATTGTAATTTAAGACTGTCAAGGCCACTCACCTTCAGGGTAGGCACTGAAGGATCCTGAGTGCAGGAGGGACATGGTGAGAGCAGGACTCACGCTGGGTGACAGAGCCGTCCCTGAGGGGCTGCAGCAAAATGGAGAGGACGAACCTCACTGGACCATGCAGGGCTGCGAGCAGCAGGACCTAGGCAGTGGCAGCCCAGGGACTGGTCAGCAGAGGGTCCCTGAGCTGGACACCTCCAGGCAGGGGTGCACCATCTTGTCCGCCCTCCCTGGGGATTGCTCGGGGGTGACGAGAAGGAGATGCCTTCCTGTTGGCAGGTGGGAGCCCCAGCACAGGCCCCACCACCCCCGGGCTACCCCATGGCCAGGAGGGAGAGCTGCCCAGAGTGTCCAGTGCTGTTTCCTTTCCAGGAACATGACATCGAGACACCGTACGGCCTGCTGCATGTGGTGATCCGGGGGTCCCCCAAAGGGAACCGCCCAGCTATCCTCACCTACCATGACGTGGGCCTCAATCGTAAGTTCACCCCAGCCTCATTCCACCTTCCTCTGCCTCCCCACCTTCCCCACAGGGGCCCGCAGATCCCCATTTGCACTGAGTTCTGTGACCTTAGCTATTTGGGCCTTTGGTGTCCCTGCTGGCCCATAACACTGATCACCTCCACCTTGCCCCTCCTCTCAGGCCTGTGGCCCCCCCACCCTTTTGCTGAGCCCCCGCTGAGAAGTGTGTCTTTGCAGACAAGCTGTGCTTCAATACCTTCTTCAACTTCGAGGACATGCAGGAGATCACCAAGCACTTTGTGGTGTGCCACGTGGATGCCCCTGGTCAGCAGGTGGGGGCGTCACAGTTTCCCCAGGGGTAGGTACCTGGGAGCACCCCCTCCCAATACCCCTCTGCAGCTCCGTGGCCCCATCTGCACCTGTGCCCTGACTTCCTCCTCTGCCTGCAGGTACCAGTTCCCCTCCATGGAGCAGCTGGCCGCCATGCTCCCCAGTGTGGTGCAGCACTTTGGGTGAGAAACCCCCTCCCCAGACTCTATCCCCGTGCTGGGGGCCAGAGGGTGCCTCCTGCCACTGCAGGGCCACCAGGCTCCAGCTGACAGCAATCCTGGGAAGTGGCTCCCCTAGCCCTCAAGTGACCAGCCATGCTTTCCACCAGGTTCAAGTACGTGATTGGCATCGGAGTGGGAGCTGGGGCCTATGTGCTGGCCAAGTTTGCGGTGAGTCTCCCAACTCCCACCCCACCCCCACACCCATCCAGGGGCTGGCTCCCTCTCCCTTCAACCCTTCAACCACAGGAACATTTGCTCTTTCTTCCTGCTCCTTCCCCTCCCCCTACTTCCTCATTACTTAGAAAAGCTCCTTTTTCCCCCTGTTTTTCATCCTAGGAAATTAGAAAAAAAAGGAGGTATTTTTTAAATACATTTCCTCCAAAGACTATAAATTATAATGTGTTTAACCACTAGCCAGAGAATTTTCTGTTATCCACAAACTACACAAAGAATTGCTTTAGCCTCTAAGGGAGGATTATCCTAATCATTTGTGCACTGATTCGGGTAATATTTAAACATGAGTCATCTCTTAACCAAAAATTACGCTCACGTTAAAGTTTGGAAGGTTTAAAGAAAGTTGCATTTCAGAAACATCATGTTGGGCAGGAGCCCACAAGCTTCTCATCTCTGAAAACAAAAGCTTAATGTTCAGGATTTAAAATGTTTTTTTTTTTCCAAAGAAGAGAACAAGAATTTTGAACCCCAGTATGGATTTCAGCACTTCACCAACTTGTTAACTGTCAGCCATCCCCTGTCACCCTAGATGAACCCCACAGGATAACAGTGTCATACGTATGTGATCATTCTCCCCTGAAGAAATCATTCCGATTTCTTTTACAATCAAACACAACACAGGCTTTGGAAAGGTCACTTTGTTACTTCGCTACAACTTCTTTTTCTATGAAAGCAAAGAAACAAAATGCTTTATTGAACATGTGTATTCCTCAGGCTTACAATAGCAGTATCCTCAAAGATCTGTTAAAAGGAGTGGAAATCAGTGTGATAGGCATAGGTTCGAAGTTGATCAAAGAATTTGGAAAGCTTCCAGGTGGGGAGGAGGACAAGCAGGGGCAGCTGGAGGGGGTTCCCAGGAAGGTTCCAGCTGTATGACCCAGTGGCATCTTGAAGTCCTTCCAGGACTGGGCCCCTCCTACCCCTGTGAGATAGGCCCAGCACCTCCTTACAGCCCGTCTTCTGGGTGGGAAGACTGGGGCTCCCTATGCATTATTCCGCCTCCCAAGCCCTATCTCCCTCTCACGGCAGCTCATCTTTCCCGACCTGGTGGAGGGGCTGGTGCTGATGAACATTGACCCCAATGGCAAAGGCTGGATTGACTGGGCGGCCACCAAGGTGAGCATGGGACACTTAGACGGGGTAGGGGGCAGGGATGGGGGGCCCCACTCACACTGGTCCCCATCCCGGCCCACAGCTCTCTGGCCTGACCAGCACTTTACCTGATACGGTGCTAACCCACCTCTTCAGCCAGGTAAGGGGGTGGGTGGTGGCTGGACTGGTGGTCTTGGGAGCCTCTTGCCTGCTCTCGGGGGTGCCCAAGGCTTCTAGTCCCCCTCCCAGCCGGGCAGCAGGAGGGCGTCTGGGTTGTGACCTCTGCCCTGTCTCACTCTACTCCTCTGAGACAGATGTGGGGGGGCCTACTCTGACCCCTGGCTAGAGCCCTCCCCTCACTTCATGGGGCTCCGCCCCCAACACCCTCATGGTTGCTGGGAAGGGGACAGGGGCTGCTCTGGCTTCGCCTCCTGCATGACCCCTCTGAGACCATGTGGCTTCCTGTCTACTGCACATCTTCCCCTCCTTGATCCCCCGGGGGCCCCAGGAGGAGCTGGTGAGCAACACAGAGCTGGTGCAGAGCTACCGGCAGCAGATTGGGAACGTGGTGAACCAGGCCAACCTGCAGCTCTTCTGGAACATGTACAACAGGTATTGGCGATGGGGGTGGGTGGGGGTGGAGCTCAGCTCTGCGGCACCAGGCCACGCAGTGCTCACTCTGTTGGGGTCCCCTCCGTACAACAATCATAGAAGGAGGCCAGCAGGGGACATGCTCTCCCCAGTTTGTGGATGAGCAGCTTGCCATATCTCTGACAAGAGTCACTTCTTGCTCAGGGTCACCCTCCCTTGAAGGGCAGAGGGGAAGCAGGGCTGCAGACTCTGGTTCTTGGTTCTCTTCCATGCCTTCTCCGTTGGGGCACTACTGCTATCCAGCCAGGAGCCATGGGAGGTGTGGGCAACAACACTGACCCCCACAGCCTGAGCTCAGGCCTGACATCGGAAGATGGGGAGGAGGTTGGATGAAGTCCATGGTTTTCAAGCTGTGCTCCTTGGAGCCCACTGGCCTTCCCTCCTCTCTCTCTCCTCCCAATATTTATTAAGCACCTGCTTGCTATGTGCATGGTGCTGGGGATATCACGAAGAATGAGAATCAGGCCCTGCCTCCTGCTATGACCCTGGAAGTCCACACACAGTTGGCGTTGTATGTTAGAACTGTGCTTCAAGGGGGAGAGAGACCCAAATTCGAGGGCCCCCTGGCATGGATTGGGGTGGTCTGAGAAGTTCCACCTGAGGGGAGACCTGAAGACCCCCCTATTTGTGCAGAGCATGACCCTGTCTCCCTGTTTACCAGCTGGGATCTGTGAGGCCTTTTCCGTAGCGGAGACAATTCAGTAAACTTAAGCCCCAACTCTGGGCTCAGCCTGGGATGTTGGGCCATACTGGTGCTGTGGGAGGATGGGCTATGGCCCCAGGGCACACGGCCCCCCCTCCACCTCTGCCTCTCCCTGCAGCCGCAGAGACCTGGACATTAACAGGCCTGGAACAGTGCCCAATGCCAAGACGCTCCGGTGAGTGCCCCTCACCGCCCGGCCCGCCCCTGTGCCCCATGTCCAGTCCAGACAGCTCTTTTCCTCTGTGTCTACAGCTGCCCCGTGATGCTGGTGGTGGGGGATAATGCACCTGCTGAGGATGGGGTGGTGAGTCTGGGGCCGCCCTGAGTAGGGGTGGGAGGTGGGAGGGAAGGGACCACTGGCCTCTGGACTCAGAGCCAAGCACCCCCACCTGGCACCGCCCCACCCTTCCATTGAGGGAGGCATGGAACCCTGAGGGAGCTGGGGCCAGACCACCTGCCTGCCAGTCAACCCCTCCACCCCTCCCTTCCAGCAGTGCAGTCCCACCTTGACCTCGCCCACTCCAGGCCCAGACACAGAGCTCTCCTCTCTACAGCTTGCTCCGTTCACTGTGAAATAACTCCTGAGCATTTGCATCCTTTGACTACCACTTGTACCCACTGCATTTGGGGATTGTAACCTTTCCCACTGGAACTTTGGAGGCAGGCGGCCAGGGGTTTCATGTCCCCCTTAGCACAGAGGGTCCAGGAGTCCCCAGGGCAGTCCCCAGTGTGTACAGAAACTAGTATGCCTTCCCTATGTCTGAGGGCTTGGGAATGGGGTGTGGGCTGCGCTGTCCAGGCGCAGGCCTCAGCCTCCTGCCGATGCTTGGCCCTCCCCCACCTCACCGTCTGACCCCTGTGGTCCCTGGGTCTTCCTCAGCCACTCCCACCAAGGGGGCCCCTGGCTCCCCATGAGGAGCTGGCCCAGCCCCTGCCCCAGGCCTACCCTGCCAGCAGCCATGGGTGGGAGTCCAGGGGTCTCAGGGCCCTTGGGGGCTGCTCCCTTACCTGCAGAGGCTTGGACTTTGGGAAGACAGCTTGGTGAGGGGCAACCTCAGCCAGGGCTGCGTTGCCACCTGTGTCTGCCCCCTGCACGCTGTCCCTCCCCAGTACAGCCTCCGGCTCTGGCAACAGACCCTGCCTTAGTGACTGGGGTGGGGGGCTCCCTGGACACGGGGCTGGGGCTGCCTTACTGTGTTGACCTTATCCCTAGGTGGAGTGCAACTCCAAACTGGACCCGACCACCACGACCTTCCTGAAGGTGAGGCCGTCCTCCCCTTCCTCCACTTCCTCCACTTCCTCCCCAGCCAAGGGCCCAGCCTCAGGGAGGGGCCTGCCTGGGGTCCTAGGGCAGGCAGGAGGGAGCAGGACAGTGTGTCTGCTCAGGGTGGCCTGGGCAAGGTGGGGGGGGGACCCCTGCCCAGCTCACCCCCCTCTTTTCCCTGCAGATGGCAGATTCCGGGGGGCTCCCCCAGGTCACACAGGTGAGACTCTTGGCCCTCTCTCCCTCATCTTAGCCCAGGTGGGAGGAGCCTCCCCTCCCCCCAATCCCAGGCAGCCAATCAAAGCATGTGACTGTCCCTCTGTCCTGCAGCCAGGGAAGCTGACTGAGGCCTTCAAATACTTCCTGCAAGGCATGGGCTACAGTAAGTTAACTTCCCCCTGCCCCTGCCCTGGGGACTGGTGGGCAGGGGGCAGAGTGGGACTGGCACCAGCAGCAGCAGGTGACACCAAGCAGCCTGGGAGCATGAGATCTGTGTCAGCAGGGCCCAGACGCTGTGCCACTCACCACATGCTCCCCACTATGACTGGAGACTCTCTAGGGCACCTCCACCTGAGTTGTGAGTAGATGATCCCAGGCTGTGTCTGGCTCTCCCATGCCCTTGGGGAGGCTGTGGGACACGTTCTCATGGCAATGTTGAAATGGTAGGCTCTTTTTCCAGGCCTGGGGGACCAGAGCCTGGGGTGGGGGCCTGCCCAGAAAGGCTACCTAAAGGTGAGTCATACACACCACCCACTCCCCTGCCAGACCTACAGCACCTGAGAAGGGCTTTTGTCACAAGTGGTGGATGGTCCCAGGGGCAGCAGAGTGGTCTTGAAGTCTGGGGCCTGACAAAGGCGTGTGGGGCCATCTGGGTGTTAGGAGAGAGCCGAAGGCAGCTGAGCCTGGGGGTAGCATATGTGAAGACCCCAAAATGATAGGGGCTGTGGGGTGGCAATGCCCACCCTCCTCCCCTCTCCAAACCACCTCCTGTGCAGGGATGAGCTGCCCAGATTGCTCAAGAGCACCTCCAAAACACACGCACACATACACACATGCACGCAAGCACACTCACACCTTATCAACTTGATTCCTCCCCTTTCCCGCACATACCTGGTCCTCCCGCTGGAAGCAGAACTCCTCTACCTGAATGTCTCTCCACCCAGACCTCAGTCCCTGGAGCTTGTGCCTCCTTGGAAGGCCTGCAGGGGAAGGCTGGGGGCCCAGCCAGGAGAGGCGCTCCCTCTCTGTGGAAAAGTGGGGCAGAGAGAGGCCGAAGCTAGCGGTGGGACACAGTGGGAACTCAGAGGTTGGGCCTGAGCCCAGGGGGCTCCCAGTGAACACCTGTGAGATGAGGAGATGAGCAATGCTTGTTGGGCTGGGACATATGCTCAGGGCCCTGGGAGAAATACCACCAGGCAGCCCAAGAGGTGGGCAGGATTTAGGAGCTGGTGCAGGCCTCCCCCATTCTGTACCTGGGGAGACTGAGATCCAGAAGGGTGCAGGTGCTGGCACTCAGATATGGGCCCCAGAAAGCCCTGTCAACACAAGGCCCTCAGCGCTGCAGCCCAGGCTGGAGAAGAGGGGGCAAGAGGATTGCCCCCACTGTGGTGTCAGGGTTCCCTCCGGGGCTGCTACTTTGGTGGATGGGCAGGGGTGGGCTTCCTGAGGCTCTGGGCCTGCCCTAGCCCAGTCTGTGCCTGCTGTCTTGTCGTCTTCTCTCTCCGACCCATTGCAATACCCCGGCCTTGCTGGATCACACTCTTCACCCGGATCACACTCTTCACCCGTGTTCTGTGTCTCCCCCCGCCCCCCCCCCCCCGGCTCCGTCTTCTCTCTTAGTTGCATACTTGAAGGACCGAAGGCTGAGTGGAGGAGCAGGTAGCCCTGTGGCCCCTCCCCTGATGCATGGACCCCCGCCCCAGTCCCCCCTGCTCCTGCCTCTGTGTGGTGCTGCAGCCGGGCCTCATCTTGCTGTGGTTGGGAACTCTCATATGTCCTGCTCGCCTCCAAAGCCCAAGAGCGTCCTGCTTTTTCACTGATCCTGGGCCAAGTGGGCTGCATCCCACATGAGGCTTCTAGATTGGGTGGGGTTTAGAGCAGTCTGGTTTCTGGGTTGCCATGGGCCACGTGGCTTCCACAGCTCAGGCTGTTGGAACCAGAGACTCTCCGAGGTACTGCCTGGGCCTGGCCACAGGGGCAAGGGTACCCAGCCATGCCTGAGCCGAATGGGTGGCCAGTTGAGTCCAGGAAGGTGGAGCTTGCCCACCTGAGCTTGCTCTCAGGAGTCTTGTCAAAGTCCAAAGAAGGACAGAAACTAGACTTATGGCAGTTTGTGGCCACCACACCTTGTCCTCCTTTACCTATCCCATGTCCTGCTCCCCTATCCCATCATCCTCTTAATGGAGGTATCGTTGGAAATAACGTCCCATCCCAGCAGCAGCTCAGGGGTACCCAGTCGGATCACCCTGTTCTGGCCAGAGCTCTGGCCAGTTGTCACCCCCCACCTCTTTGGCTCAGTTACTGTTGCTGATGCTGCATGCCTCTGGCTTAACAAAGTAGGTGCCAGAGCCGTGGCTTGAAATGGGCCTCTGTGCCGTTGGAAGAACGGGTCTTGCTGGCCGCTTTGCTTGCGTCAGCCCTTTTCCTGCCTGCTGGCACTCAGCCCTGCCTGCTGGTCCTCATGCCTGTCCCTTCTCTATCCACAGTGCCCTCGGCTAGCATGACCCGCCTCGCCCGTTCCCGGACCGCGTCACTCACCAGTGCCAGTTCAGTGGATGGCAGCCGCCCGCAGGCCTGCACCCACTCAGAAAGCAGCGAGGGCCTGGGCCAGGTCAATCACACCATGGAGGTGTCCTGTTGAAGCCCCTGGCCCAGCAGAGGCACGCAGCTGCCCCCCCACTCCCTCATCCCCTGCATCAATGTCCCATTGCCATCCTTGCACCAGCTCATTTCCCTTTTAGTTTATTTTTGTGAAGGCCAAGGGGAGGAAATGGGTTTACTTCTTTTTTTGTTAAAAAGATGAGGGGATTCATCCTAGATGCTGCAGAACAATGTCCAGATAGTTTGAGAGGCTCCTCCCCCCACCCCAGCTCACCTTGTTAACTTGGCTGACTTAGATTCCCTCTTCCAACTCCCCACAGTCAGGGCAGGGTAGAGGGAGGAAGGGGATTTGCTAAGGAGAGAGCTGGAGTCCTTCTCTGGGCAGGATCCAGGATATCCTAGGTGGAAGAAAGCATGGGATGACCCCCTTGGGTGGACAGGTTTGAAGATGCGGTGGGGTTTTGAAGTGGTGTGCTGGGACAGCAGGAGCACAGGGTCCAGCTCAGGTACTGAGGTGACAACCAGGAGACAACACTGGGGAGCAGTGGGAGGCAGGCACCCTGCAGTTCTGCAGGCCCCTTTCTCTCCATCTCCCCACCAAGCACATCTGTTTGTCTTTTTGCACATATGACAATCATCTGAACCATAGCCACAAGGGGGTGCTCCTACCAGGCAGCAGTTTTCCTGGTGCTCTCTTGGCTGGCCTGGTGATGTGGGCTAGGCATGCAGGGACTAACAGTTTCTCTGCCCAAGGAAGACAGAACACAGAGGACCATAAAGGCAGGAACCCCACAGACAGCCCATACACTACACCACCTCCTGGCCTTGTCCGATGTCTGTACTAAGGCCTTGAGGTAGAAAGTTGCCTGATCCTCTGTTTCCATTGGGACTGGATTTGGGGGCTGAGCTTAAATGCTGGGAGAGCCCATCGGGGTTGGGCAGACCCAACCACTTCATGGTGCCTGCCTTGGGGAAGCAGTATGTGGCCAGAGGCCATGGTGGCTGATTCCCAATTCCATAGAGGACAACCTAATCAACAGCAGCGTGTCCAAGGCCACCGGAAACATGGCGGTGTTAGAGTTCTGGTCAAGCTATGCCAATATTTTCTGTGGGTATCACTAAGAAAGGAAGTTTACTTGGAAAGAACTGGTCTAAGGCAGACTTCTGCAGGCCCACATCATCGTCTCAGGACTGTCAGAGTGGCTTGGGCCTTGCTGGGTCCTGGGGTGGGAGGTGAAGGTTCCTAAAGTGAACAAGGGCCAGGCAGAGGAGAAAGGCTCTCCACACACCCTGGTCCCCTCCCCGTTCACGTGAAGCCTAGGACTGTGCCATACACATCCTACCCACCCACACAGGGAGAATCTCCCAATCTGAAAACTGGAGCTACTGGTCTCAGAGACTCAACTGCACAAAACGAAACGAGTAAAAGGGGAGAGAGAGCAATGAAAACTGCAGGGCTGTGGAGGGGACAGTTGTGTGTGGGGTGCTCTGAGGCTGAGCGGACACCTGCATCCACCTTTCCTTTGCACATATCACACCCTTCTAGAATCTTAAGCCATTACTAGACTGCTCTAGAGCCTGGTGGAGTGTTAGTCTGTGCCCAGTTCTATTCATTCACGTGCTTCCTTTGAATATCAAATGTGACTGAAAAGCTGGTAGAATTAATCCCTCTTTACTGTAGATAGCGCTGCAGACCTTGGATTTTTTTTTCTGTGTTCTTTCAGATATATCTATAAATATCTATACATTATATATATATATATATATGCGTGTGTGTATGTGTGTGTGTGTATGTATATTGGGTCTTCCTGCGTGTGGTTTTCCATCAGAGGTGGTCTCTTTGGTCAAGTGAACTTCTACTGGAGTTTATTATTTTCCTCTCTGTATAAAGTGAAGAACCTAACTTTGTGTATTCTGGTGGCTGATGTCATGAAACTTTGAGATGACAAACTGTAAAACAAATAAAAACCCTTGTCAAATAGTTAATTAACTGTGTTGACAAACTAATAAGTGAAGGATTCAAGTATAATGCTGCCAGGCCCGTTCCGGGAAGCTTTTGAGATGGCAGCATTGAGGTCCTTCCTGGGTTTAGGTGGGACTGAGTATGCCGGAGTTCCCATTGCTGTTTCTACTTCTAGTTCTATTTTAAAAACTCTACTCCTGGGGACCTGAACTCAGGACCACTCAGAGATCAAGAATCACATGCTCTACCAACTGAACCAGCCAGGTCCCCCACTTATTTACAGTTCTTATCACATTATCTTACCAATCCTTATGTGGCGTTTTTTTTTTTTTGTTGTTGTTGTTTTGGTTTTTTTTAATTAGCTAGTGAGGAAGAGCAGCGAAGAGGGGGAAGTAAAAGGAGAAACAGATTCCCTGCTAAACCGCAGTCCGGTGCTGCAGGATCCCAGGACCCCAAGATCATGACCACAGTTGAAGGCAGATGCTTCACTGAGCCACCACCCAGGTGCCCACCCATCCTTACGTTAATTCCACATGGTATATATTATCTCAGTTTCACAGCTGAGGAAACAGAGCCTCAAGATAAAGAATTTGCCATCTTATTAGGCTTCTTATTAAGCCAAGCTGGGAGCTGGCTTTAACATTGTGGGACTGCAAAACCCTCTATATTCGCTGCTTCATTTTCTTAACAGTATTCTACTTTCCTGTGTTTAACCACCATTTCTGATTCATTCACTCATTTACTCAATAGATACTGCGTACCTGCTATGTGTCAACTAATAAAGCACGTAAATAAAAAACCCCCATGTATACGATGAAAATCAGAGGGATGTACTAGCAAGTGCGGCGGTCCCGGGCCCCTCGGAAACACACCCGCACGCGCACACACAACCTGCTCTTACGGAGCGAATAAAACGGGTTCGAGGAGTTGAGTGGCTGGGACTCGAGATCAGGAAGGCAGACTGAAGGCTCCTGCCCGGCTCAGCCCCTCGCTCGATGCGGGTCCTCGGGAGGGACCCGACCGCACGTCTTCTAAACCCCGCTAGGGACCCGGGAGCAACGATCGCACAGGCTCAGAGCCCCGCCGCTCGCCCTCCACCCCGCGGCCCGGGCGAGCGTCACGTGGCCTGCGTCCCCGCCCCCGCCCCCGCCCCCGCCCCCGCCAGGCCCTTCCCCAGACGCCGGAAGTGCGCGCGCGGGGCTCCAGAGCCGTGGGGCCGCGGGGCCGCGGGGCCGCGACCATGGCGACCCAGGCTAAGCGCCGGCGGGTAAGTCGCAGGGTCCTCCCCGCCGCGCCTCGTCCCCACCCTGCCCGCGGCGCGGCCCCCCGCCCCCTCCCTCCGCTCGCGCAGGCCCCTGCCCTCTCACCGCGCCCCTTCCCCCACCCAGAGCACTTCCTCCACGCGCGCCTCGGCCTCCTCCGGGGCGGGCCGTCTCCGCGGCGCTCGCTCGTTTCAGGTGGCGGGGCCCGTGCGCGGTAGCGACCCGGACCTGGACCCGGTGGCCGGCTTCCTGAGCTGGTGCCGGCAGGTGGGGCTGGAGCTGAGTCCCAAGGTGAGGCGGCGGGGGCGGGGGCGCGGGCGGGGGCGCGGACGCGGACGCGGCGGGGGCGCAGGCCAGCTCGGACCGGCCGCTCCCCCGTTCAGGTGACGGTGAGCCGGCAGGGCACGGTGGCCGGCTACGGTATGGTGGCCCTGGAGAGCGTGCAGCCCGGGGAGCTGCTGTTCGCCGTGCCGCGGGCCGCGCTCCTGTCGCAGCACACCTGCTCCATAGGCGGCCTGCTGGAGCGAGGTGGGTGCGCCTGCGGGAGCGGGACGGGGAGGCGGGCCGCGGGGTGGCGCCCGGCCTCTCATCTCCCTGCCTCCCTCAGAGCGAGGCGCGCTGCAGAGCCAGTCGGGCTGGGTGCCGCTGCTGTTGGCGCTGCTGCATGAGCTGCAGACCCCAGCCTCGCTCTGGAGCCCCTACTTTGCGCTCTGGCCGGAGTTGGGCCGCTTGGAACACCCCATGTTCTGGTGAGAGCCTCAGTAGGGGTGGGGAGCACCAGCACCATAGCCTAGCTCAAACAGCCCTGGCCCGGGGACAGGGCTCCCAAGCATTAGTCTCGGTGGGATGTGTGAAGGGAACCCGGTGGGGTCTCCCTGCAGGCCCGAGGAGGAGCGCCGGCAACTGCTGCAGGGCACGGGCGTACCGGAGGCCGTGGAGAAGGACTTGGCCAACATCAGCAGTGAATACTATTCCATCGTGTTGCCCTTCATGGAAGCCCACCCGGATCTTTTCAGCCCCAGGGTTCGCTCCCTGGATCTCTACCGCCAGCTTGTGGCTCTTGTGATGGCCTACAGGTCAGTGAGCAGAACGAAGGACTTTTTTGCTTTGGAATTCTATTGAAGGATGAGAGGGGAAAGAACACTGAACCACACCCCAGTCTCTGGGCTTTAGCAAAATTCTCTTTGTGGCAGCTTTCAGGAACCACTGGAGGAAGAGGACGATGAAAAGGAGCCAAACTCCCCTTTGATGGTGCCTGCTGCAGACATACTAAACCACTTAGCCAATCATAATGCCAATCTAGAATACTCTCCGGTGAGTGGATCCCTCAGTTATTCCTTTAAAAAAAAAAATTATTCATGAGAGAGGCAGAGGCAGGCTCCCCATGGGGAGCCCAGCGCTGGACTGGATCCCAGGACCCTGGGACCACGACGTGAGCCAAAGACACTCAACCATTGAGCCACCCAAGGTGCTGTTGTTATTATTGCAGGGAAGATCAGGCATTTGATTCAAACCAGTGCTTGTCATTTATGCTGGTGGGACAGTTGGGCTAAGTGGGCTCCATTCTTGGCATGGTAAAAATGCATAGGTGAAATTAGCTTTTTTTTTTTTTTTTAAATGTATCTTCAGTTTGTGTATTCCAGTCAAGTAGTTTGAACACAAAACCTCAGCCCACAAAGTTTTGGTTAAGTCTCTGCTAAGCTACTGCAATGATTTTTTTGGTGCTGGAGGTTGGCTCCTCTATGCAGTCACTACCAGTGAGCCAAGGCAGTGTTGGGGCCCTCCTGACAGCAGCCTGGAACAGCTATACAGTCATTACTTTTGGGGAAGGGGGAGAAAAGGGCATGGCCATAGGTCAGATCTAAGATGATACCAGGGTTATGTATCAATTCCATTTGCTTTGTGGAAAGTTGCAAGAAAAGATCCGAGTTCTTGCAATTAGGGAATGGCTGTTTTTTTAATCCTAGCCTCTGTCTGCCATTCCTACTTTGATCTGAGTTTAACTGTTCATTTTTAAAAGCTAGTAGCTTTAAGTTCTGAAGATGACTAAGGAGAGAGACTTACCTAATCAAGTAATGGGGCTAAACTTGACCTTTCTAAATCACACCTCTTTCATCCTATTGTACAGGCATGCCTCACTTTATTATACTTCAGATATTGATTGTGCTTTTTACAAATTGAAGGTTTGTGTCAATCCTGTGTTGAGCAAGTCTATCAGTGCCATTTTTCTAACACCACGTGCTTCACATCTGTTTTATTTTGGGAAGAATCACAGTACAAAATTTCTCATTACTATTATTTGTTTTGGTGATCTGATCAGTAATTACAACTCACAGAAAACTCAGATGGTTAGCACAGTTTAGCAATAAAGCTGTTTTCTACAATAAGATTTTTATATGCACTGGGATGTCAAAGTTCATTTCACTTGCATTTAAAAAAACTTGTTTTGTGGTGGTCTGGAGCTGAACCCTAAGTACAATTTCTGAGGTGTGCCTATACAGGATCATAATAGGAACTAAAAGTAGAATGTTGGTAGGTATGTGATCAGTCCCATTGTTGAACTGTACCCACTGGGAGGCTTTTCCTAAGAGGGAATTAATCTTCATGGAGCTGCCCAAAGAAAGGCCAGGTCCCAGCTTCTCCCTTCCACCCTAGAATTGTCTTCGGATGGTGGCCACTCAGCCCATTCCTAAAGGCCATGAAATTTTCAACACTTACGGGCAGATGGCTAACTGGCAACTGATTCATATGTATGGTTTTGCTGAACCATATCCTGACAACACAGATGACACAGCTGACATTCAGATGGTGACAGTTCGTGAAGCAGCATTACAGGGTGAGTGTCTGATTGATCCAGTCTTGGGAGACTGGTGGACAGGTCTCTATCCCCACCCCAAGTGCTCTCACATAGCAGCAGTTGCCCTGTTTTTTTAGGAGACTGGGTTGTAGACTAAAAAGCAATGATGATTTTAGACGGAGACTTTCACACTATTACTATCTACAGGAACAAAAGTTGAAGCTGAAAGGCTCTTACTGTTGGAACGCTGGGATTTCTTATGCAAACTGGAGATGGTTGGGGAAGAGGGAGCCTTTGTGATTGGGCGTGAGGAGGTACTGACTGAAGAGGAATTGACCACCACACTCAAGGTAAAGGACTGAGAATGGCTAAAATGTTTAGAGGTAGATAAAGCTAGATGAGAAAGGAAAGGTGGGATGGAGGGAGAAGACACTTATTAAGCTGCCAAAAATAGGCTTCTCTAAATTCAGAAATTGACAAAGGGCAATCAAATTCCTAATCAAAAGGCCCAACAATTGCTTCTAGGTGCTATGCATGTCTGCTGAGGAGTTCAGAGAGTTTAAAGACCAAGATGGATGGGGAGATAATGAAAGGGAAGAGGACAGCTTGACAATCAAAAATATCCCCAAACTTAAAGCATCATGGAGACAGCTTCTTCGGGACAGTGTTTTGTTGACCCTGCAAACCTATGCCACAGACTTAAAATCTGAACAAGATTTACTAAGTAACAAGGAGGTCTACACCAAACTCAGCTGGAGGGAACAGCAGGCCTTACAGGTTCGCTTTGGTCAGAAGATGATCCTAAACCAGTTGTTGGAACTGACAAGTTAGCAGGTTCCCTGTTGCCTGAAGGAACATCCACGAGAAGAACTTTATTTGAAGCTAATATTCACTGATATTTGAAAAAAAGGAAATTTGCATCTTTTGCTTTGGTTTCCCTTTATTAAATACCAAAAGGAAAAGT